TTTGCTTGTAGTTTGGCCCAGGCGAATACAACCTCGATATACAGGCGTTACGATCACTTTCGCTCTCCGCACCCCTGAAATATGTCATAGCAAAATTGAAGATTCGGTGTGCGCCACCTTGTTGATGAGACAAGAAGACTAGTTCGATCCTTTGAATATGCCCACTTTGTAATACTGGTATTTGGGACGAGTATCATTACTTATATACTAGTAATAACGACACTTTAGTCAAAATAAGGGGAAAACATATTCCGGCCTATTTTTATACAAGTCCAAACCAACATAAAATGAAAGGAATGTTCACAATCTTTAATATGAAATTGTTAAAAAGAGTAAGCTTATTTGTTCAAAAATTAACAAAAGTACTTTAGTGTCTCTATACTCTATATTTTTCTTTTGTTTGCCAGTGAAATTTTATATAAGTTGAACACTGAATTATTTGTATGTAACTACACGTATATATATAATTATGTACTATGCTATGATATAGAATGTTTGTCTGTCATGCACTCAAACTATGTTATATATACATGACCTCTTGTTACACATATTATGTGTGTCTGAGTGAAATAAAAATCTTGAAAAATCTTGAAATCTTGATGTACATCAAAAGAATCTCGCGGTCACGTAACGGTAAAAATTGATAGGCTTTGAAGTCGGGCGTCTCTCCTTTGTAATCTTCAAAGGACAGGTATCGGCCTAGCGATTGGTCAGGTTTTTGTTGAACTGAGACCAATCAAACAGCTATCCTCGAGCCTTCAATTTTGCTATTTGGTATCTATGAAAGTTTCTAAGTATACCATCCTCATTCCTCCTTTGTTCGTATCATTGCAAACTACTTTCCTCTCTATTTGGTTACTTTTGTGTACCCCATATGTAATTCCAGATCAATGTATTAATTTCTTTCATACAATTTAATGATATTCCCCTGGCTTCTATTTCAAATCGTATAACTGATAATTATTATAAGAATTCTTCCACTTGTTGTCAGATTTCTAGTTTTCCAATAATTCCATCTTCCCCTGGAGACTTGTTATTTAATTTAGATATTGCTTCAAAAATTTCTGAATCAGTTATTGGCCTGTTCATATTTCTACTTTCTTCTGCATTTAGTTTAGTTTCTATAAATTGTGATAAGTTATTTGCACTATCCTGTTCCCATCCCTCAGTTTTAAAAAGTTAAGGGTAGAATTTCTTCTGTTCACTTAATATGTTGGTTATCTCTGTTTTATAATTACCATCTTCGCCTTTTATTCGAAACCATTGATTATTTTCTTATTAAATTTCTCTTGATTAAAGAAATATCTTGTTGAATTTTTCATTCTCATCAAAGACTTGTATTTTAGATCGTATTCGTGCGGCATCTGTTTTATTGTTATAAATTTGTTTAATTTTCAGTTTCACCTTTGATATTCACGTTCACGTGATTGAAAACAAGTCAAACATCTCATTTAAAACTCACGAAACAACAATACACAATATGATACCCCGTACAAATCTTCATTCACAAAACAATTCCATATTTCTTACAGTGTTAGGTCTGTTATCGTTTGTCCTATGAGAACAACTGATCATTACACATGACTAATATTGCATTAGTGTTAATTCATCATTATGTGATTATGTGTCTAAACATCGTTACGCGTATCTCCATATCTAAAGGCACAAGACACATGTCTCATGTGGCGCACTCATACAGACACGTGTGTCTTACACAAGTACATGTATGTACATAACTGCACTTATCGACCTTTAGTTCAGAAGCTGTATTTCCTGCTTATAAACGTATACTGATTTTGATATGGATATTTTTGCGTATCAAAAAAAACACGTCGATTTTTTAGTTTGTAAAAGGGATACTTCCAATAAGGGCCGAAATATTGAAACATGCTTTTGTACGAACTCCAAGACATGCGAAGGAGTTCAGTGAAACTGTACCGATTTTCGCAGCACATTTTTTTGCATAGTCAAATGATGAACCTGTCCAAGTGTTTAGCTCTCCCATAGATTTGGTAGCATGTTTAAACCTCTATTTGCAGGAACCTAGTTGTAGGTCAAATCGATTGGATTTAATATAATTTGACATTATCGGAACAAACAAAAAAAAGAACAAAAAAATAAAAAATAAAAAAAGGATCGGACCTTAACCTATGGCTCCCGCAGGTATTAAACCTTTACCCGGACCCTGGTTCTTCGTCAATTATTTTTGTTAAACAATTGTTCTACTGCTATAGGTCTGTAGTTACCAGTTTGTCAATAATGTTTCGGGCTCTTCATAAACATTTCAAGAAGAAATCCAGTATTCCAATACATATATTATCAAATTTGATTTTTTTCACTCAAACATTTTTTAAACACTATTCAACAACATGACACTTGAAATACAAATAAAACAAATAATCACTTCAGTACATCACAACACTTTTGCTAGAATATATGNTAAACAACTGTTCTACTGCTATAGGTCTGTAGTTACCAGTTTGTCAATAATGTTTCGGGCTCTTCATAAACATTTCTAGAAGAAATCCAGTATTCCAATACCTATATTATCAAATTTGAATTTTTTCACTCAAACATTTTTTAAACACTATGACACTTGAAATACAAATAAAACAAATAATCACTTCAGTACATCACAACACTTTTGCTAGAATATATGTTTGATTGTTAATGAATAATAATGGAATGATTGAAGAAATAGCACTGAATTCAATCAAAGGGAGACAACTCGCTAAGATAACTGAACAAATCCACGCCAGGTGGAGTCCCACAGGGTGAAGATCTACAGAGATTAAAACCTCCCTTAGAATACGATATTTCCTACCTTTCGATTTATCTTAGATGACGTAATGCTTATCAAGGTATATAGACCATTAGAGTACATTATCTAGACATACTTTACAATGGATTTTCACGACGATAACAAATATTCGGCTTACAGGGTACACACTTAAAATATGAACTTCATTTATTTGACAATAATTTTGAAACATTTTTTTACAACTTATACTATTCTTTCTTGTTGACCCAGATGTTAGCGTGCGGGGTCTAACTGTGGGAGGAAACAATAGTACCCAGATAAACCCTACGTGGTCGGGCAGGTGACCCCAACCTGTTCACGTCCGATCGGCGAATCTAACCACGGCCGCCTTTGTGAAAGGCAAGTGCGTTATCCACTGCAACACCCAACCCATCCTCGATATCCAGTGGTTAGGCTCCCTTCCATAACGCTAACCTTCGCTCTCTACACCCCTGGAATATGTCATAGCAAAATTGAAGGCTCAGTGTGCAGCACCTTGAAGATTAGACGAGAAGACTAGTTTGATCATTTGATGTACATCAAAAGAATCTCGCGGTCGCGTTACGGTAACAATTGATAGGCTCTGAAGTCGGTCGTCTCTCCTTTGTAATTTTCAAAGGACAGGTATCAGTCTAGCGATTGGTCAGTTGTTTTTACCCGAGACCAATCAAACAGCTATATTCGTGCCTTCAATTTTGCTATAACATATTCCAGGGATGTCCCTGGATAAAGAGGATGCAACCATCCACACTTCTGTCATATGTATACATATAGCATATATTGTAAATTCAAAATACAGTGGCTGTGTGTGTGTATTTATTACCATCCATGAAATAATCTCGAATCGGCCATTTTATGTATTAATATTATTTTCACATTCCGTCCCTGTATGTTGTTTCTGCACTTCCGGATTCCGAAATTGTACGAAACCACTCGTTACATCTCGGCAGATAGTACCGGAATCAGCCGAGATTAGACGAATTATACAAAATGCAACAACAATGCAACAATTAAACGCAAAACCTGAAGCACATTCCTTCATATATACTTATACATATGCTATAGGTCTTTTCAACATTTTATCATTAGGTTTAATCCGTGAATGAAAATTTAACTGTTGTGTGGACCTCTGTGTAATTCTGTAGTGTTCTCACGTCAGAAGTGATCAAGTCCCAGCGTAGTCAGGAAGAAAGCTTTAGGTAAGCTAAGGAAATAGATGTGAGAAACAGTTTAACCCATTTCATCATCATTAGGTTTATATTTTATATGAAAAAAGCAATACCACTATTTTATATACTGTCACTTTTATCTCTGTTTATATACCATTTTGTATATGTTTTTTACTTCATGTGTAAAATAACTTTTTAACTATAAAATAAAATCTGCTTCAGAAAACGACAGCTATCCAAATATTGAAAATTTTCATCAAGAGACATACGTATACTTGTACAGGCAGCTCTATCGGAATCCTGTATCTAAGAGTTGAAAGCGTAGCTGTACTGTACACGTGTACAGGGATTTGTTGACATGATTTAATAGGAGTTAAATCAATAGGTTTGTTATTAAAATATGAATAAAATGTTCTATTGATTTGAAAATTATGTACATGTACTTCTTAAATAAGGAAAAATATTACATGCCTAAATGTTAAAAAAAGAAAGGGAACTTACACCGTTCACTTCGTCTGGTCACAAGCTAACTGCGTTACACATTCGGCTACATCGGACATAGACGAATTGTGAAATACAAACTGTTAAAACCTAAGAAACACCTGTTGCAGTTTTCATTATTTTGAGCACTTTCCTAAAGGAGGACCATTTTCCGGCATACAATTTGTTTTTGCATATTCAAAAGTTGGTCCTCGAATGGGAAAGTGTTGAAAGTATTTTTGTAAGCCTGGCAAACCCGATCACTTTCATAGATATCGTGTATATGGCTTTATTTGTAGTATCATAATTATCAACAATACCTATTATCTCAGCAGCTCAAACATTCATATTTAATTGGTTTTATATCTATTCAATGCATATTCGCTACCTGAACTTATTTATGCATTAATGTTGTTTCCCGTTTTGATAAATGCCGACTTGGGGAAATAAGGGCAGTTTTCCGCCATAGCTCTTTAAAATTAATTGAAAACCATATCCAACGAAAATTTAACGAGACGAATTATAGATGAAAGATAACGAACAACATGAAAGTAATGTTGAACATTTATTGTTAACCAAAATAGATCAAATCAAATCATGTAACATTAAGTTACGTAAGTAAGGCACTCTAGAAGGAGTATGTTTGTACATTTAAATATGACACTCGGGAGTACTTCGATCTTCACACAAGGAAGTACTACTTGCCGGACTTTTGTTTTTCCCGTTCTTGGTAGGGGCTACATCTTCGTGTGATTTCCTCTTCCTCACCTTCATCCGCTGGATCGAGATCTTTACATACAAAATATACCTCATTATAACAATTAAAAGCAAAGCCGGATGACGTCTTTTGGAAAATGATATATTCGTTAATAGCTATACGTTTCCAAATATGCGATTTCTTTTCGCACGATGAACATTTGTAAACTATGTTTTCACAGCACTCCTGTATATATTCAAGAAATAACTATTTGACTCTACGTGACGGGAATGCGCGAAAACGGCAGAAATCTACACCGCTTTGTCACGACCTATGACAGGCATTGTGTAATTTAAACTGATATTGTTATCCTCCCAATGCAAGTTATTGAAACACATTTGAATTCAAAACAGTGTACAAAATGTATTATACATGTTAGAATGCAGAATATGTGGAAAAGTTGTTAAAGAGATATGTGTGTTTATTGTTATTTTTTGGTGGTGATGGGGGTCTACGAGATAAAGCGAAAGTTTCACAAGTTTGATATATACTATATCACCTAAACTGCATATAAATGAATAAAAGTATTTCCTCATACATATTGTTGAGGTATAAGTATGAAAGGATTAAATAGGTAAAATTAAGGTAAACATGTATCCGAGAGATACCTGGCGCGCGAACACATACCTATAAAATTATCAAGAGATATATACAGAGGAAAACGACACGTTAATTTTACTTAACATACCTCAGTCAATATAACCACATATCTACGCTTGTGCAAGTGTATTTCACACACAACAAACAACAACGAATAAATATTGTCCAATTCATAATGTATATATATATGACATTGACATCAAACAATGCTATACATAACGATAAGTAATTTTAACAACGAATGTTTCATTTCAGACCAACAACAACAACAACAAAACAATAGATGGTCTTACGTTTAAAATGAAGCGGCTCGTTGTTTTTTTTACCTTCAGCCTCAATCAGAGCGTCTTGTAATAGTATTTCGTCACTTCTGGCAGCCTCCGTGCTTTGCTCTTGTTTCGTTTTTGCTGAACTGTCTGGTTTGCCGGCCTCAGCCATTACCTGTAAGTGCGAAACAAAATCCATTCATTACAATGCACGGATAACATGTTATCAGAAGTCAAGATTCAACCCATATATACATGTAATACCTGATTACACCGTGGGTTAGGTATACAACGGAATGAAACTACACAATGACTGTCCCGCAGCATATGACTAATTGTACATCACGTGATTTCTGAATAGTGGCGTCGTTACATTGTTAAACAGTAACAGAAATAATGTTGCCAAAAACTGCATTGAAATCGGTCGACCGGTTACCAAGTTATGTACGACAAGTAGACGTTGAGCTTTAATTTTTACCTGGTATTCAAGCATCGTATCTTATTAGAACGGCCTCACTGAAGTAACGGCCCTAGTAAAACGGCCCTACCTGTGTATATATTGTATATACTGTATAGCACTGTACTACAAATGCATAATACAAGTACATCACTTAAAAGTATGTTAATAAACGTACATGCACTTTCAAGAAATAAACATATAGGTAAATGTACAAATAAAACTACATTTAGCTCTGCATCAAAACATAGAAGGATGTGCTCTGTTTGTACTAGGTTAAACATAACAGAAAACCAAAGATTGAAAGTGAAACATGTCATTTATTTAATAGAATAAATGACGGTATAAAATATCATCTTTTTACTTATTGTACACACTTGTACAAAGGTTTCTGTTACACAAGATGAAACAAAATAATTAGAACCCAATTATATACAAAGATGGGGATCAACTTGAACTGGCTGCGCATGCGTGTTGCATTCCAATATAATTTGTGGATGTATGCCAGTACGAGTTACTTCCCTTGCCCCAAACATAAATTAGAATGCGGCGGCAGCTGTGTAAAACTAGCTTTTCGCACGCACAGTTTCGTATTTTTCTACCGCAAGTATAACTAACACCAATTAAAAATATTATCAATTCCGTCAGTGAGATGAAACCCGTAAGGGCGGATTCATGAAGGCGCGAAACCCGTCATCCATCCATCCATCCATCCAATATTATCAATAAGTTCAGTTGATATATTTAAAAATTAATTATTATATTAACGCATATATTTTAAAATATTTGATGGTTATTTTCTCGTTGTAGGCATGTTGTAATATATTATCGGGGTGTGTTTAAACTTATTCCCCAGGGTGTGATACCGGGTGGGCATTTTTGAGAGGACATATGTTACACGGTATACTGTTTAAGTATGGACCGTTCGAGTGGTTGACGTTCTGTAGCATTGTGCATATCTATTCATCATGTTTCATCTAATTTACTTCACTGTTTCATTTTGTACATAATGAATTGTAGAACTTTATAAAACGTGTTGTCATTCATTGACCTGTAGCCAGCTGAAGTTAAGTCGAGACAGAACCACAGAGTTGACGAACGAAAAATCACTATACGAGGACAAAACTTTCACAGTGCATACGTTTCCAGCGTAGCCGAAATCGATATCGATTTTATGGACAACTCTTATACATTTTACACCTTTGTGTGCATACGCTTCACTGGTCATTTGTCTGATGAAGGTGACAGTGTACATATCGTACTAGTCACCGAAACGTCACATAGAAAATTTTATTGGTTGTGTAAAAAGAACTCATAAGAACAAAGTTGTTTAGAAAGAATAGAAAAGATAAGATCCCAACTTTAGTCGCCTCTTACGATTATGCAATGGGGGCAGCAGGTACAATTCTTACGCCCTACCTGTGGGGAGATGACATAAAAAAAGCAATCTATATCAGAAGAGAAGACACCTAACAAAGAATATATAATTCTTACTGACATTGGCATTAAACATAAGTTGAACTTGTACAAAAGTTTTTTAATTTCATCACAAACAATGTACATATTAAACGTGTCGCAACGTTTCAAGGCCGACTGGTCCCTTTGTCAAGCTCTGAGTGAGCGACATGTATTGATTTACCTGTATAACGATATGACGAAATTTTATATTTTGTATGTCACCTGGTGCGTTTCGCCTATTGATATAGTATCGTATCGTATACACACTGTATCAAATAGGTCAAGTTGAACTTATTTCTAGGGAGCATGATAAGGTAATTTTGTAAAATGTTGGATTTCCACTCAAATAATTTTGAATGTATTTTATCAGACAACAATGATATGATATATGTTACTGTCTCTATCGGCTGGGAGTATAAATGGATGAGCCATTATAATGGAGACACGGTAGTCTAGTGGTAAGACGCCGGGCTCCTGACCGAAGGAGGGTTGAAGGTTCAAGTCACGGCACGGAACTGTGTTGTATCTTTGCCCAAAATACTTTACTCCGTTTATTCCAGTCTACTCAGCTGTAGATGAGTACGTGGTTGGGCAGTGCTATAATTGTTAATTGCTAGCTGTGAGCACCGAAATGGAGGAACCGGCTGCATGTTCCCCAGGGATTGGAGAAAGAAACAAAGGATAATAATTTATGAACCGCTTTGAGACGACCTACGAACTAGTTTGTACTAAAGCAGTATATGAGAACCTCGAATTATTATTATCATTATTATTATATAATGTGAAACATACCGCCTCTGCATTCCATGGTAAGAAAAGCCGATCATATATGGCGCAAAATGTTTGATCACAGAGTGATAGGCTTCCAGATGTGAGGTTTGTTGACCGTTAGAGAGCATTTGGATGTCTCTCTTTAGGTATTGGAAGGACAAAATCAATCGTTAACCTTTGTTTCTGAAACACATAAAACAAGTTATTGATATCTCTAAGACTTATTGAAGTCTCCATCAGTGATTCTTTACTTACAAATACAAAACTAATTTGACAGTGAAAAAGGATTCAGGAATCTTTATAGGACGGTAATATATTTGATTGCTATGGCACAGTATAATAATATCATGTCATTACTAAATGCCATCGCAATTAGAAAAGCATAGTTGACAAAAAGACTTTCTACTTTTGAAAAACAAAAACATTATAAACACGTTTTATTAACATTTTTGCCAATTAGTACAAACATGTACCTGGTTTCAGCCATTTCTTGTTTCTGCGAGAGGGGTTCATAGGTGGATGGGAACATAATGGGAAGAGTGATCCGTGATGGTGTCCTATGCTGGCCCAATTCTGCAGCATCATATCCCCATTGCTATCTGGTGTTGATGATGCAACCCAGTAGAGGTGTTTAGGGATGCTCTTAATCCAACCATGTAGTTCAGCACAGTCCCTCTCTTTTGAATGGCCACAAGTTTCTTTTTTAAACCTAAATAAAATATAAATGTTCAAACAAAATAAAAAGTTCAGTTTAAGTGGTAGGATGTGAAGCATTTTAAATCATCCTTATGTTTTGTTGTTGTTGTTGTTGTTGTTGTATTGTTTTACAGGCTATCAGCAATGCTAGTCGTTAAGAGTCAAACAATATCATAAAACATATCTATGTACTTCTTTTGTTTTAATTTAGAATCTGGTTTTTGCCAACATAACAAAGCATGTGAATGTGGAACAGCATTTTCAATTGCAAGGATACTCCTCAAATTTGAGTTCAACTTTTACTTACCTTTTGCAACATGCCAGACGTCAAAACAGTGTCGGATGTCAGTCATGTTCTACCTGACCCCCTTCTTTATTTGGACATGTCTGTCGGCGACAATCCTCTCGATCTCAATTCCTTTATCTTTAAGCTGATGGATGGTCCTGAGGAGTCCCTCTTTCTCCGTGTGGCATGATCTCTTTACTTCATTACTATGTAACAAAAACAAAGATGAAGTATTGTTAATAGAAACAAAATCGGTGAGTAATCAGATTGTTATTAGTACCTAGCAGCATACCCAAATTGGAATTTAATACCAAATTTGTCATTCAAAAAGCTTATGGCGCAAAGCTAAATTCAAACTTTGCTAGGAATCTAAACATACCGCTTCATATACCACTGAAGTCTAATAAAATGTATCGCTTGATTTTTGATTACTACTAATCTATGGTGTAAATATAAACTAAATCTGCTGATGGGTTTGTGAGATGTCGAGATGCCATACACATAACCTTTTTAGGATGAACAGACAGACAAAGAGACTATGTTACTCCACACCAACCCCCACTTGCCATGGTTTCGTGTTTCATTATGTTACAGAGTTATAAATACTGTTAATGCCAGTCAAGTGTTGTAAAATTTCACTACGCTGATAACAAAGACTACTGTTTCATATCTGTTATATTGTTTTTTTATCATTTTTCTTACCTGCACAATTCTCCGCCAATACATATCTGTTTACAGGCATTTCTCGTCTCCTAAAAGTAATATAAATGTAAATTTTATTTATTTTACAACAATTATGAAACAACTTATTTCAACTTATATCAATCACTCTTGTTGGCTCAGATGTTAGCGTACTGGGTGTCTTGTTGCGGGAGGAAACCGGAGTACCCGGAGAAAACCCACGTGGTCGGGCAGGTGACCTGGGTACAAGAGATGGCAAGATTGCCTGGTGGTACAGACCCTATCATACTCTGGCTTGTCCACCTTCTATCGTAAGTACAATCTTGTTCATTTGTTATACATGACCCAGTAAAACAATATTATTGTACATTTTAGCCTTCCTATAGAATGCAAGGCAAGAAAGGTTTTTGGTTTGAACCTAGATCCTCTAAAAGCCTTAATATTTATATATGTTTATATATGATCTAAAAGGAAATTGGATTAAGTAGTTACAATATATGTTTTTGATCATCATAACAGTTTCCTTATCAGTTAGGGTTGTGCTACTTATTGATACTTTTCTGACAGAAAGTCATTAGTTGTTGACAATTCTCCCTTCGGTAACATGCATTGTCAATCTAAGTAACATCATCCTCGATACTTCAAGGGTTACGCTCACTTTCGCTGTGCAGAGAGCGAAAGTGAGTGTTACCCCTGCAGTATCGAGGATGAGATAACACAATCAAATCATGAAATAAGGACACCGAAAAGGATACTCTCAAGGGAGGCGTTTTAAAGCACTCTAAACATCAGGAAATGTTCCAAAATACGAACACCACGTAGTCGATTGTGACAGGCGAAACATTTGGGGAAAATATTTCTGCACTAGTGGTTCCTCGGTTTTTTACTAGAAATTACCACAAATATTAGAGAATATGTTATAGTATATTTGGACATAAAAGTAAGCGTTCAGAGTAATGTTACACGTTTTAGGGTTTAGTTAAACTTTCTGTAAAAATGCCACCCCAATGATGGTATATATGAGACGGAT